TGCTGGAAACAACAGGCTTTTCCCTTCCCATCGGTCTGAACACCACCACCTCTAAAGCCTTCCCTCAGGTCCCAGGAGTGGGACACTCCTCAAAACTTCTGCCCCTTCTGTGGAGGCTCCTCCCAAGTGTCCTCACACTGGCAGACCTCTGGGGCGCAGCTGGCTCCAAAGGGCCTGCTCTGCTGAGGTAAATGCACACATGCCAAACGCTCCCTCCAAAGCTAACCTCAACCAAACCTCTTCAATAAGCCTCATCATATGTTTCTTAAGTCTTAGTTTCAGCATGTGAAAAACTAAAATTATAATGGTTAAAATGTGTTGTTATTAAGAGAAATTACTTATGTAAAGCACTTAATACAATGTTTGGAACCCAGTAAAATCTCAATTAAGTGGTGGCTATTATAATTATGTCAAAGATACTCACTAAATGCCTCTTAATCAAAGAGACTCTAACCTCCATTAACCTGGGGCAAATTATAACCTCTCTAGTTCTGTTTTCTCAACTCTAACTGTAGGGAGTGAGCAGAAGTATGGGGGGTGGACCAACACAGAAAACAATCAGAAAGCAATTAAGTACTAAATGATGTAGTAGTAACAGGATGTCTGAGAAGTGAAAATTGTTTCCCTAACTTCAGAAATGTGTGGATCAGGAAGCACTATAAAGGGAAAATACTCCCTTGTCCCCGCTTCCTCTAAGCACTGATTTTTTTTTAATTGGCCTATTAATGCTACTATATGGTTAAGATGCCCAAGCACAAAACTAGGTATGTACCCCTTATGCTTTAGCCCCTACAAAACCATAAGGTAAAACAATTGAAAAAACCTAATTAAAAAAACAAAAAAAGAGAACTCAACATGAATTAACATGACACATGACAATGACACAAGTCTACAGATACTGCAGGGTGGCCCACCTCACATTCCACAGTGTTAACCAGGGGAGGTCCTTGCGTTCTCACTCTGAATGTGGGCTGCACCATGGGCCCTGGAACCCCTTCAGCCCCTCATCACTTTTTCCAACAATATGTCACAAAACCATTGCTCACTAAACCTCTCATTATTATCTGACTCTATCCATCATTTCTGTAACACATCCAGATTTGTTCCTCCCTCAATAGCTAGAGACAATGACAGGAGCACCAAAGAGACACAGGCAAAAAAAAAAAAAAAAATTATACAGCACTGCTCATTTATAAGGTTCTCTAAATGTTACAGAGCTTATGATTATTACTAAAATTCTCGTTTAAAAACACCTTAAATGGCTAGGAAAGTATCTTAAAACTTCAGCTTAAGAAATATTGTTTTATAATAAAAAGTTCTTGCCACAGTGTTCAGAAACACCCTACCTTAGACATCTCCTATTTAACTCCATCTTGATGCTCCACGTGCTTCGATTCCTATGATAATCCTGTAAGGTGAACACTACTACTCCAATATCTGAGGAAATTGAGATTGTAGGAGAATATCCAAGAGGTGGTGCGCTGTTTCTACATTTTAATGCCTAAAATTATGCAAACTGAAGCAGTGAGTGGTATCTGAATCCAGCATCTTGCTTCCTGCCCCTTTAAGGCAAGTCCTAAAAGTCTGGGCAAAAGATGACCAGCAATGAACACTATGAGTCCAGAGAAAACCAACCAGTTGGGACTGAGGAAGTAGGAGAGGAAAGATGGCATTTTTGAGGACAGAAATAATAGGTCTTCATGAGAAAGAGGATTTATTAAATCCATGGATCTTTGGAACAAGAAGAAGGGCTGTCTAATCCCTCAGAAATGGAATCGCTGGGAAGAACTGCTAGCTCCAAACACAAGACAGAAACTGAAATGTGGCTGGGATAAGACAAAAAGTACTTACTCTGAGTAGGGACAGCTATCCCCTTAACAGACTGCAGCTGTGATGTTGAACTTGTGGTCGTTCACATTCACAGAAAATGTGTTCATGGTACATAAAGGATAATTTCAAAGAAGCCCAAAGGTGTCCTGCACAGAAGAGGTGCTGAACAAAGACTAGCAAGACAGCGCCAGTGGATTCAGGAACATTTTTGTTTTTGTCACCACCATTAGTTTCAACAAACTACTAAGTCAGCCCACAGAAGGGGCTGTTAGAGTGGCTAGGAAACCAACCGGGTAGCCTGCTGATGACCACACACAAAAGAACTCACTCTTGCAACAAGCATCTGAGTGCTCACAACATGGAAGATGCCGTCCTGGTTCAACCATGAATACCCCTGCCCTTGTGGAGTTGGTGTCGGGGACACAGACAAGGAAGAAGTAAGCAAGTACATAGTCTGATCTTAGGTATTCTAGAGGTGGGAAAAAATAACATGGGATATAAGAAGGAACAATTGGAAGGGACAGGTACGCGAGATAATGTCACCAGGCAATAAAAAAAAACATCAACAGAACTCTAAGGGGAGGTGATACAATAAAACTCAATTATTTTTAAGGTAGGAAGGCTTGAGCACATTTATTTTGCTGCATATGTGCTGGAATGGTGCTACAAAGATCACAAGAAAGCCACATTATCTGAAGGTGTTCGAGGATTGGTGCACACTGACAAGAAAACCAATTGCACCTCAACACTGAGCCCACAAGACAAGCATGATAGAGCATTATCCTGTGGATGGCCTTCACTTATGACGTCGCTTCCAACTGGAATATTCTAACTGTACCAGGAAAGGGTTGATGCTGGAGCAGTCATATTTCAGGGAAGAGGAAGAAGAAAGGGAGACCTGTATAAGACTCAGCAATATTCATTAAACATAGGAAAAGCTGTTCATTTTGTCAGATCTACTGGATGTCACAGGGTGAAGCTTTGCACTCAAAGGGTGAGCAAAAACACCAGGCACTTCAGAGAGAAGAGAGAGAGATCAGCTATGTCACCAAGATCCCCAAAGACTCCAGCTGCAGGGGGTGGGGGAGGGGGGCAGCAAGACTGTAAGCCCACTGGGGCCACACTAAAGATGAGGGCTCTGCAGCATTCTCTGAAAAAGGCAGCGTTGAGAGCTTGTCACAAGGCTAGACCAATGCTGAGGACAGAAGTGCAGGGTCAGAAAAAGGCTGGACAACTAGGTAAGTGACACATCTGCAGATGCTGAGTGGCTGCTGAGTAGTAGTACCCTGTCCACCCCACACTCACCACACAGGGACTAAAGTCATCTGCTTCCCCACAGCACTGCAAACAGCTCATGGAATCACAGGTCCTTTATGGTCCCAGTAACTGGCAAGTAATGGCAGCTCAATAAATGTTTAATAAGGCCATTTTTTAATTATGTGAATGAGAAACGGGGGAGTAAATAACTGAGTATTTGGTATGTGTGAGAAATAGCACAGGCCAGATCCCTGCTCAGTGTCCAAACCAAGCTGTGGTTGGCTCATGCCTGAATGGTCAGGACATGTCCAGCAACTGCAGCTAACTGGCTGTAGAGCACTGAGAGAGTCATCCCAACTCTGACTCTCAATGTATAAAATGAAGATGTTGGACCAAATGAGAGGTTGCAGGCTTTTCAGCGGAAAGTGTCTGTCATTATCCTGAAGACTGCATTCAGGGTAGGGGCTGTAGGTTTCCCCTTCAACTGTGCTTCCAAACAAATTATAGACAGGAGAGCATTCAGCTCCCATGACCACCATGCCAGGACCTTTGAGGCTTGTCAGCAAGAGCAGTGTGCAGCAGGTGAGGTGAAAGGGGCTGGGGAAGAGGAAAGGGAGAGGAGAGACCAGGAGCCCAGTGAAAGACGGAATGCAACAAGTATCTGCGTTTTTAAAGTGGCTGTTTACCTCTGGCATGTGTACACCCACAGACCCACAGTGAAATAAGTGAGGGAGAAATATTTCAGGCAACCTCAAAACTTATTAATTTAAGACCTGTTAGAGCAATGATTACCTGGAGCCTCTGAAAAGTTTATTTACTGTATTTACAGAGTGTCACTGGACTGTATTTTGAGCTTCTGAGAATTTACCATGTTCAATCAGTAGAAATGCCTGACAATTCCAAAACCCATAATTTCCCATGCCATGCTAAATTCTCCAACGTTACGGGAAAACCCACAAACTCTGCAGAAGGGAACGAAAACCTAATTCACTCAAAGGAAATCTTCCAGTTCTATAAAGGAATACAAAGAGCACTGAAACACTTTCAGTTGAAGGACTTTTCACTCGATCCTTAATAACTTCATTCTGAAGCCCTTGGAAAGTACTCAGTTACACATTCTACATTTCAATGCCTAAAGTTATGCAGCTTGAAGCCGGGAGTGAGCTCACGATCTAAGTCAAATTTAAGGAAGCTAAAGATCAAATAAACCCATATATCTGAAATGCCTGCAAAATAATAAATGCCTGAGAAAACTGGATCCTTTTTTCTCTTCTAACCTAAATAAAGCCTGGGGGAGGAGGTACAGAGATCCTAGTGAAGCTAATCTCCGTGATTATACAGAGCATGCCATCCAGGAAAGTTAATCCAAGCAGAGTAACAATACCTGCAATGTTGGAAACACACACACACACACACACACACACACACACACGCACAGTTCTGATTTTTAAAACACTGCCGGCGCTGGAGAACCTTAACGACCCCTCTAACAAGCCAGAGCCTTTGACAAGTGTTTCTGGGACAGTGACTCGGTCGGTGTTCACCACAAAACAAATCAGAGAGTATCGAAGTCCCACGTCCAGCCTCTCCCCGCGGCCTCCCCGCAGTCCACCGACTTCCTGCACACCTTGGGGAGGCCGCGCCGACTTCCTGCACCACACCTGGCGGGGAGCCTTCCCTCCCTGCTCCAGGGTGGGAAGCGCAGGGCCCGACCCAGCATGGGGCACAGTCGGCGTCGCTCGCCTGACAAGTCCCGGGCAGCTGGCCACCGCGTCCCGGAGCGCTCAGGGGGGCGCCCCGCCCGGCCGACCCCGCGGCCGCACCTGCGCCCGGCCAGGTGCTCCGCGTCGGCGGGAACGGGAGTCCAGCCGCCCTCGGCGCCGCCCCGACCCAGGCGCTACCGGCCCGCTCACCTCGGGCAGCTCGCGGAGCTGGTTGGCGTCCAGCAGCAGCTCCTCCAGGCTGCGCGCGTAGCGGTACACCTCCTCGGGCACGCACACCAGCGAGCAGTGACGCCGGTCCAGGCTCTCCACATGACGGTTGCACCGCCACAGGGGGATGCAGTGGAACATCGCCGCCCGCGCGAGCCGGCGCCCGCCGCGGAACCCGGGTCCCAGCCCGCTCGGCTCGCTCCGCCAGCGGCCGGCAAAGCGCTGGTGTCGCCCGGGCTCCCGGGCCGATCACAGCGCGGAACCTCAGGCGGGAGCCGGGCCGCGGCCCCCCCCCCCCCCCCGGGAGTCCCCCCCCCCCCCCCCGTCCCCCCCGCTCTCCCACCCGCACAGCCTCGCCCACCCCGCTTACGCCCTCCCGGCCCCGCCTACTCCTCCGTCTGCCTGCGCGGCCCCACCCACTCCCTCCCGCGGGCTGGCGGCGTCACGCACAGAGGGCATGCGCCCCGCGGTTCCGCCCCAAAGCGCTTCACACCAGAGGTTCTTCTCGCGGCTGCCGGCCGCTTCGAACCCTTTAAGGAAGCCTCTGAGGGGCTTGAAACAAGATCCAGGCGACCTGAGGAAGCTGACCAGCTTCATTGTTGAGTCTTCCCCCAGTCGCTCGCTCCCCTTGCCCTGACAGCGTTCGCTTCCGGGTCAGAGGCCGCCCGGGGCTCCTCGCAGCTCGGGCAGATGGTCATTTCTTCGTGACGCTGCCTGGCCCTATGCTCCTCGACCCCGGAGCCGGATGTCCGCGCCTCGGCTGCAGACTGCCAGGAGCCCTCCTCACCCGCACGCTCGCGCGGGGTCGGGCTACGAGGTGGTCCGCTTGTATGCCAGCGGGCAAGGGGCCCGGCGGTGCTGACCTCGCCGGCGGGTTGCAACCGCGGGAACTCGCAGGGCCGAGGGTGTTCGCGACAGTCCTGCCTTCCCTCTTCTGTATCTTTCCAACCCACCCCGCATCGCCTCTTCACTGAGGCCTGGGCGGCACACGGGGGGGGGGGGGGGCGGCGGTTCTCGGTGACTCCTGACTCTCTCCCCACACTTTCCTGTAGTTCCTGCTCTTCCACCCTCGCTCCTGCCCCCGGAGCAGCCCCATCTGAAACCTGGAGCCACGGAGCTCCCATTTCTGCAGAAGCCGAGTGTGCTCCAAGGCCGGGGTGAAGCTTGGTCTGAAACTTGTTCTACACAGGCTCTTCTGTAACTTCCAACTGTGGACAGGACAGTTTCCCTGTGTCCTGGGGAAGAAAATCATTTCAATTCTCCTTTCTACTTCATCGGTGAGGAGTGATCTAACTTCTGTTTCTACCCCAGCATCACTACCTCAACTCTTAACTCCATTCCATCCCTAATCTCACTTTATCCATTGCATTCTTTTTTTTTTTCCGGTCCTGATTTGATTCTCAAGGAAGCCTACCTGGATTTTGAACCTCTACTCCTTCATTCTTGCATACCAGAAACATTTATAAAGCTTATTTTCTGCCAGCCTTCCTGGAAAACAGTGGTTCCTGAATGAAAGATGTCTAGAGAGATAAACAAGTAACCACCTTTGCAAGTTTTCCAACTGCTTTTAAAGAGCTACAATAAAGAAGGTGGAACTCTGCATTTTAATGTTTGTCAGGTTATTTTGCTAAACGACAGATGTGTTTTAAAGACATGACTGGTCTTAAAAGTGACTCAGTACACATTCCCCCAGTGCCTCGAAGTGTTACTCTTCTCTGTGTTGTAGTTATGTTTGTATCACCTCAATCCTCAAAGAGATGGTGACCTCGTAGATAACAGATACTGTCTCCCTGGCTTTGTTAATCCTGAAAACTACCAGAGCACAGTAGCACACTATTTAGCTGCCAGATTTTCGTGGGATTGACTCATTTGGATTTTGGTTGGTCAGTCAGTGGAAGAAATCCTGGCTTTCCTTTTTTCCAAAGATTGCCAAGAATTAGAAATAGTTTGGTAAGAGAGAAAAATATCAACACTTTGTCAACAATAAGGAACAAATTAACAATTTAGGGAGTTTTAGGGATTCCCTTCATATAATTTCTACCGTTCCCCATATACAAATGCTGATTCAATTTGAACAGAAAAGATTATCCAAATCAATTTCTTAATGTAATTCATTTTCACTGTAAACCATTTTTATAGCCTTCAGAGCTGTTAAGATTCTGGCCCTGCTAACCAGGAGCTTTTAGAATTGGACAGTTACTGAATTTAAACTTCAGTTTTATTATCTCTCAGAGAGTGACAATGGGTCATGGGGTTGTTCTCAGGATTAAATGAGATGATGCTTATAAAATTCGTAGCAGTGTCAGACATGTGAATTCATCAAGAAATAGCCATTATACCATATATTAGCCAGCCTCCAGCATGGTCCTCAACAGTCCTCATCTCCTGGTTGGTCTCTGTAGCTACCCTTTAGTCCTCTCTCAGATCACTCAATTTGAGGAAGCTGTCTGCCAGAGGGACTGCTGACAGCAGCTAGCAAGGAACCAGTGATTTCTTGGCCACAGCCTTGTGAGTAGCTCAGGTTATCTTGGAAGCCAGTGCTTAGCCCAGTCAAGCCTTCAAATGGCCACAGCCACCTAACAGCTTCCCTAAAGGACCTTGACCCAAGACCATCAGCTCCGCTGCTCCTCGACCTTGGCCCTCAGAAACTGTATAAAGCAATGAATGTCTGCTGCTTTAAGTTGGTAAGCTTTGGAGTAATTTATTATACCCACAGGTAAGTGTACACAACAGGCATTGTACTCAGAAATTCAACAAGAACAGGATAGGTTTTACCAAGATGCTTATGCTATAAGGTTAAGAGAATAATAAATGTCCAATTAATGGTTTCTTGTTTCATCGCTAATTAGCATAATAGTACAGTTAGAAACAGGGAAGTTGGGGGAGCCACTCCCTTCCCTTCATTCACTACAAACACATCACTCTAATGATTATCCATGTTTAAACTTGGGGTCACCATGCCTGAGGTGGCAGATCATGAACACCAGTGAGAGATAGAATGGGAGGCACCTGGAGTCAGAGATGTCTGACACTTTAAATACTGGAAACCTGAGTTATCAAGGGTTCCTTTTCCTTCTCCTTTTTCCCTTTACCCTTCTGCCTGTTACTGCTGCTACCAACCTGTAATCGTTGATAAATGTAGCTACTACTACTTTACTTACTACGAGATACATGCTTGCCAATTCTTTCCTTGTCATGCACATGAACTATTTTTGGCCCATTCATCTGTAACAATATTATCATTAAGTTTTTAAAAGTGAAAATCCAAAGTGGTAGCTAGTAAGATAGGGGCAGAATGGGGATTCAGAAGTTTGGGCACAAGAATTTTAAAGTGAGCTACCACCACCTCCACTAGAATAACTTTAAAAAAAAAAAAGGCTGACAGTCTCAAGTGTCACTGAATATTTGGATGAACTGGAACTCACGTACATAAAATAATAAACTTATATAAAACAAATTGAATTTTCTTATGAGCATATACCTACACTAGTGACCCAGGTGTTCACACACACACACACACACACACACACACACACACAGAAGCATATGTCCACATAACAATTGTTTATGAATGTTGATATCAGTTTTAATATTGGCCAAAGCCTGGATATAATCCAAATATTCATCAACAGATAAATACATTTTCTTTAAAATGTAACATATCAAAACAATAGACTACAACTCAATAATAAAAAGGAATGAACTGCTAATATGTGTAATAGATGAATCACTAAATCAGTATGTCAAGTAAAAGAGATCAGACAAAAAATACTAAATTATATAACAAAATTTTAGAAAATGCAAATTAATATTAAGAGACATAACCTATGTCATCATTGGGTGCATGTATCTGGGTTTGTGGAGAAAATTTAAGGGAGAAGACTGATGGCAAATGGTGTTATACTTTGGGTCTAGATGTTCCCCCTAAAGCCTCATGTGAGTGAGGTGGGACTTTCTTTTTCAGAGGTAGTTAAATCTGGAATATGTGATGCTGGGGTTAAGAGCATGTGATTACTAAACCACTACATGTGAGTGATTTGTTTGATACCCACCTAAGTAGTCTGAATAAGATAAAAGGGACAGAAAGACAATGTTGAGTCCTCTTCCTTGTTGCCATGGCTACGGTATGGGTGCCATGAACCGCCTGTCTTGTTGCCTTTGCTACCTTATGTGTGCCATGTTGTTTCTCCTCTGTGATGCTTGTTTGCCACCCCAGCCTTGGAGCCAGCTGATTACGGACTGAAACCTCTATGAACTGTAAGCCAAATATACCCCTTCCCCTCCACCTTTGAGTATCAGGTATTTTGTCTCGGCAACAAGAGAAAAGTAACTAATGCAGAAATTTGGTACAGAGATTGAGGTCTTTGCACTGAAATTACCTGGCTATGTGGCTCAAAAGCCTTTGAAACTGGCTTGTGGGAAGAGGAAGAGTTAGGAGAGATCCAGAGACATTGGCTACAGAAGCAGGGTGGAAATACAATTGTGGTAGTTATGTGAGTGTATATATTTATTAAATTCATGGTAGTATACACTTACTGTGGGAACCTTTTATAATGTAAAATTTACATATCAATAAAAATTTTAGCCAAGTATAGTGGTGCACACCTATAATTCTGGCACTTGAGGAACTGATGCAGGAAGATTGCAAATTCGAGCCTAGCCCGGGCAACTTACCAAGACCCTGACTCAAAATAAAAAACAAAAAAATAGGCTGGGGATATAGCTAGATGAAAAAGCCCTCGGTTCAATCCCTAGTACCACCAAAAAAAACCTTAAAATTTAAAAATTAACAAATACCATACGGCTGAATATATCTAACAGACAGTTGTAAATTATATTTAGGGCTAAGGGGCCATGTTGTAGTAGTTCTTTAACAAATATTTGAGTGTTCACTGTATGCCAGGCATTGGGTTTACTTGCTAGGAAGTCAAAAAAGAATAAGAACTTTTAGTCCTAGTGGAAGTTATCAAGGGAATTGTAAGAGGTATAGCACTACTGTAGTAAGATCAAGAATTTTTTCTTAATCAAGAAAATCTATAGAAAACTGACCCTCTTGTCCTATAAAGTATTACTTGAGTGGTCCTCTGAAGTATTTATATACAGATCAAATAGCAAATTAAATCACACTGTGCAAAGCAGGACTGTGGGAAGACAGCACAATTTGCATAAGGGTCATAGGGCCTTGTGGGAAAAAGAGTGCTCAGCTCTCAACCCATGCTAATT